GCCGAAGATTGACGTGTATCTCGAGGACCGCATGGGCCGGCGCCACCAGAGCGCCACAATCCAGCTCGACTTTCAACTTCCGCAGCGCTTTGACCTCAACTTCACGGACGCCGCGATGATGCAGCAGCGGCCAGTCATCATCCATCGTGCCATCCTCGGTACACAGGAGGGGGGGGGGGTGTGCGTGTGTGTGTGTGTGTGTGTGTGTGTGTGTGTGGTGTGTGTGTGTGTGTGTGTGTGTGTGTGTGTGTGTGTGTGTGTGTGTGTGTGTGTGTGTGTGTGTGTGTGTGTGTGTGCGTGTGTGTGGGGCTGTGGGGGGCTGTAGTGTGTGGTTGTTGGGTTTGGTTGGCTGGTGTTTTTGTGTGTGTCGTGAGGTAGGCTTTGTGATGTGGCTCACATGACGTGGCTGCCTGTTATCCCGCCCCTGTCCTCGCCACCACCACACCACCACGCCACCACACCACGCGTCATGCATCTGTGCAGGTTCACTGGAGAGGATGACAGCTGTTCTTCTCGAGCACACGCGCGGCCACCTTCCCCTCTGGTGCAGCCCTCGCCAGGTGCGCCCCTGACCTTTGCACCTGGGAACTGGTTGGATGTGGGGGGGGGGGGCTTGTTCACGTACAGCGAATCAATTCTGCAGATTGCACAAGTATCCACCACGACCCATCACCGCCACCACCTCACCACCACCACCATTGTCGCTGCCAGGTTGCTGTGCTGTCTGTATCGTCGGCATCGCGCGCTGCTGCCGCTGCCGTCCACCGCCAGCTCGTATCTGATGGTCTGCACGCCGAGACGTTTCTCGAGGACACCACCATCGCCAGGTCACGCGCTGCTGTCGTGTGTGTGTGTTTGTGCATGTGTGTCAGTATGTGTCAGTGTGTGTCAGTGTGTGTCAGTGTGTGTGTGTGTGTATGTGGATGTGTCTGTGAGCGTGGTCACATTGCGCTTTTATGCATACATAGCTCGCATGCACATCATCACATTTTTGGTGTCCATGCCCATGCCCTCACACCGTTACTGCCACCGTTGACTGCGACTGCAGGAAGGTGCGAGCAGCAGAACAGCTGAAGTTCAACGCCATTATTGTTGTTGGCGACGAGGTGCGGTCTCATTGTGATTGATAGGGGGTAGGGGAGACTGTGAGGGCAGACATACATGTGCAAAGGCACACACACACACACACACACACACACACACACACACACACACACACGCACACACACACGCACACGCACACGCACTCACACACACACACACACAACCACCACCAGGAGGCAAAGACGGGCAAGTTCAGTGTCAGGTGGAGGGATCATGACAAGCGGTTGGCGCCGCTGTCACCAGCACTGCAGCGCATCTTGCGCGATGACCGGGAATGCTTGCAGGCAACAACACATCAGACGACAAGTGGGGACAGTGATGACAATCAGTTCACGTTGGCGGACATCAGTGCCGCCATTCAGCGCCGCATGCACGCAATGGGATGAGGGGTTGGAAGTGACTCGTGTGCACATTGTTGCTTGTAGTTCGAAACACATGTACAATGACTTAATGACAGAAGTGTGCAGTGGTAGCGCGAAACCAATGCCGCTGGTAGCTGGGTGCGTGGATGTTTGTTTACTTGGGGGGCATATGATGCAAGAGCTGCCGCGAGGGTGGACGCTTCCTTCGCATCAGTCCTCGTGCGTACAAGAGAGAGAGAGAGAGTATGTGTGTGGGCGTCTCGACAAAACCAGACGTTACAAGTGGTCAGCATGGACAGGTGACGTTAACGCATCACAACACGAAAACCAAACAAACATCAGTCGTGTTTAACAGCGTGTATATGTGATGTCAGCGGGGCGTGCGTCTGGCTTACTAAAGTCCTAGGTGCGTGTGTGTGTGATTATGTGTGTGTGTGTGTGCCTGTGCGTATGTGTGCACGTGGTGTCTGCTTTTGCGCATCACTGGTTCTTCTTCTGCTGCTGCTTGAGTGCTGAGCGGCTGCGGAGCCGGCGAACAACGGCGTTCTCGCCAAACATCATCGCTTGGAACCAAATCAGATTCAGCACAGTGACTGTATGTGTGTGTGTGAGTGCGTGTGAGTGAGTGAGTGCGTGTTTGTTCTTGTGTGTGTGTTCTTGTGTGTGTGTGTGTGTGTGACTGCCTGAGCGTGCATGCGCATCCAGTTGCAGTGATGACGTACAGCAGGCGGAGATGGAGTAGACGAGCACGGCCATGTGCGACGACACCCCGGCAATGTCCTGTTGCGATTGGGAGCGGGGGATGTGTGTGTGTGTGCGTGTGTGTGTGTGTGCGTGGCGTGGTTAGGATAACGGACGCAAGGAACACATACACAGAGGCAGAGGCAGATGCAGCGGTAGACAGACAGACAGACACACACACAGACACAGACACACAAACACACACACAGACACAGACACAGACACGCATGCACACACACACACACACACACACACACACACACACACACACACACACACACACACACACACAC